CTTATTAACATATTATATTTCTATATAAATTTAAATAACTAAAAATAAATTATAGTATAAAAAACTCCCTAACTTATTTATAAATTTTGGAGACCACTTATCAATAATTATATACAAATCACATTGGTTTATATTTGTTTTTGTTTAGTTCACGATATGTAATGTAAGAAGTTATTAGATAAAATATCCTTATTAGTTCATAATATAAAAGAAAAAAATCAAATGTTTGATGATAAGTATAAAAGTTTTTGATATTATAAAGTAAAATTTAAAGATAAATAAAATTAATTTGATAATATAAAATTCAAGTTTTGATTTTTCTTTAATATTAAATCTGTTGTTACCACCTACTAATCTCCAAAAGCCCTCAAAATTTAGATTTTAAATGAATGTTTATAGAGTTTAAGAAAATGTTACTAAAAAAGAAAAAAAATTAAGACCTGTGTCAAAAATAAAAACATTAAAGGCTAAAAATTGCTTAGAGTGTTAATGTCACAATTTAGGCATAGACGCCATGCAAGAAATCCCCGAAGTCTTAGCTTCAGATGGTGTCGACAATTACCAAGGTGGCCTCGACACCCTACACGTGTCGGGATTTTGGATCTTTTTGCAATTTCGTTAAAAGTAAAATTGGTAATCTGGGCCTTTATCTTCTACATTATGAGCACTTTGATCTGAATACTTCAAATTCATTCATATAGATCTCTTAAATTTGAAGAGATATCCACTTAAGTCCGGAAACTTATGTTATTATGTATTTAAGTTTTTTTTTCCTGTAAAAAAAATGAAAATTATGTAAAATTCATAAAAAAATCACATTCTACTTATTTAAATATCTATAAATTCAAAGCTAATATGATAAACATAAACATATAAAATGCATTTCATTAATATTCCTTACCTAGTTTGCACTTCAAGACTAATTTATCCCCATATAGTTTTAAAGTATACCTCACATTAGTGCAATACATTCAATAAAATTAATTTTCTTATATAATTTAATTTATTTATAAATTTCCATAAGCATTCAATTTATTTATTATTATAATAATTAAAAAAAGACAAATTCATTCTTTATAATAAGATAATCTCTTTATTCTTTATCAAACTGTTGATTTGAAGATATAAAAATAGTATAATTTCTTTTGAAAATAAAAATAGTATAATTTTACTATCACTCCTATTGTAGTCTAAATTATCACATAATTTAACACTTAAGTTTATTATCTTACCTGGAGTGTTGTATATATATATATATATATATATATTCACAATAGCTTCATCCTTCTAAGTTGTATTGTTCCCTCATAAGCTGGATTCAAATTAAGTGTTGGGTTGCACAAAAGATTACTTGAATTCCCAAAACTACTTTCTTTCCAAAACTGGCCAAAATATGCAAATTATCAAAATTGTTATGTTGATATAAATTACCATTTCAAAAAAATAATTACATAATTTGTCATCCGAAATTTCTATTTTCAAAAAATCAATCTAAATTTAATAGTTACTATTAAAGTTTATTAAATTATTACTTTTGAAATCTAACAGAAAATTACCAATAAATATTAAATTTGAA